CCTTACCTAGAACAAATTCAAAGTAATACAGATCTTCAATGGCCTCTCGTAAAACCTGAACTTGTTTTTCCTTCAGTGTAACGGTACACAGCTTTACGTTTTCCTTTTGTTCTAAAGATGAGAAAATTAGAAACAAAACTTTGTCTTAAGCAAAGTTAAAGCCTTTACACTCTGACATCAGTATGTACATGTTTATTCTCAATACTCTTCTCTATACATTTCCTAAGGTGTTAACAATGAGAATTCAATCGGCCACTTTCCCTAATAGCTAACTTTACCTTTACATTTGAAAATATCACACACTCAGGATAAAAAAAAAAAAACAGAAACATTTTTGACAGGGCTTGACACTAACAGTAGCCCACTAGCCACAGACTAGTAGAAATTCAGTTTTGGCTAGTGGTTTTTGGTTTCCACTAGCCCAGTTTGGCTAGTAAACAAACTGAAATTATCGTAACCTCTACGATGTAACAAGCCACTTGTCTAGTAAGTTGAAAAGTTTGTGTTGAGCCCTGATTTACGTAAATGTGATTACAAAAAATTTGCATAAATACTTAAAAAAAATGCAATAAACAGGAATACAATCAAATTTCAAATGTCAACATTTACAAATATTTCAGAGTGTGGTGTTGCAAATTGTACAAATCTTGTTTACTTGTAGGAAGCATTCATTGCTAATTTTTCCTCTATCTGTGGTGTTGAATTGAGGGCAGGGTTTACTTGTACTATAGATGCTGCCTATATGTCTAATTACGCCCCGTCTTAACAGCATTAAATTTCAGAAGGCCTCCATGCAAACGAAGCACTTCATTAAGAATGCAATAATTATCATTAATACCCCTAATTGGCATGCCTATCCACCTCAGGTTGACACAAACTTTTCAGGATTCACTTACTGCTGTGGATACCTTCAGGGTAGTAGTTTTAGCCTCACTAAACTGAATAAACCAATTTATCATGCTAACTGAGACAGATCATGCACCAAAATTATAAGGCATTTATGAGGAAACTGACGCAAAATTTTACCGCACTAAGTGGAAACTGTGTTAATTACCTTTAAAGTTCACTTCATGTAAGGCGACGGCCATTCTGTCGCCATCTAAAACTTCTCCCAACGTTAAACTACGATGCTCTACCTAAAGACAACAAAGAAATCATGACATTAACAAAAGAAAAAATATAGCGCATGTTTCTAGAATTTATCCCTCTCAGAACGACTTTACCGAAGCTTAATAACACTTTAATTCAGCTCCATAATCGATCTATAAAGCACAAGAATCATTCCGATTTTACGCATTTGGAAAAAGAAAAATCAACTCCAGTCACATTTGCAATATCAAATGAAAACAATATTTGATATTAAAATTTTACCTTTTCAGGTCTACAAACCGGCAGGGAATAGTAATGGTACGTCTCTTGAGGGTTGAAGTACGGACCAACTTTGTTCACATACAGTGGAACCTTAAAAAGACAGATTACTTTAAAATTCGACTCTTAAGAAATAGCGAGACCTAAACTAGCTGCCTACCTTTTCTCCACCTTTGTAGCTCGCTGCATGGGTGTAAAATGGAGCTAATAAAATACTAAGTATACAGAAGCAGAAAATATTGAAAGTCGCCATGTTGGTACTAAACTTGCTAGGAGCCATGGGATAAAATAAAACGTGGCTTCGTCTCCTCCGTTGCCTATGGAAACTGGCTTAGTTGCGGAGAAATTTGAGATTTTGTTCCCATCTTTCTTTTAACATTCGGTGTTCAATCCCTGTTCACCTCAGGTTCAATAATTCCTGATTTTCTGATTGTTTTTTGTTTTTGTTTTCAATTAAATCAGAGGTTGTGGGGGGGGTGTAGGTTCGAGTCGTCGTTATTTCAACTAAAATTATTTTCCCTTTTCCTTAGTATTCTAAATGAGGGGAATCCGCTGCATTATTTCTTTTTAAATTGTCTGCAGTTTTAAACAAAAATAAATAGACCACAAAAACACCAGGACACTGCGTCAGGCCATTTTCTGTTCCAGAATACTCTCAGATGTCTTTTACTTGTTATATTTTTATTCAGATAGATGCCTTCTTTATTCTGTTGATTTTTTTGACCCGCAAGTTGTGCTCCCATCCATAAAGAATGCTTATTTCGTGATTTCGATTTGATCAGACGTCTTCAGTGGGGTATCAAANGTGTGACCGTTATTTCAGTGACAACCCAGGGGAATTAATAGGTTGGTGTATCATTTTGTCAGAATTGTCTTGTACTTTCATGGTTTTCTGAGTACTAGAACAGACAGCAGTTTGATTTAAACTTTTGTTTTCTATTATGGTATTTATGCTTAACAGATTTATGGAATAGCGAGCATTAGCAGTTGTTTACTTGAGCTGTAGATGAATTAGAAAGAAAAGGAAAGTATCATAAACCTAGCTATTCCCGTAATGCAAAAGAAACTAGATTCATAAGCTCCAGCAAAATGAACCACACAATTCCTGTTCAAACTTACTTAAGACCTCAAATTTGCTTGTATGACTGTGTGTTTTTCTTCTGTAGGTGTTCACTGTACACATGGTTTCAATAGGACTGGCTTTTTGATAATTGCATACCTAGTGGAAAGAGATCACTGGAGGTAATTGAGCTGTAAGAATAATTTCTAACACCATGCAGGTTTATTAAACCAGAAAGTTTTTTTCTATAAATCTCCTTCCGCCTCAGTCATCTTTTTTTTTTTTCTTTTTTTTCCCTTTTGGTTTATTCTCACTCACTGGTATTTTCATCTTTAAATAGCAAAGTGCTATTCCAAATTTCTAAGTTTGCTTTGTTCAATTCTTTTGCAAGAGGATGGCTTTAAGCGTGTTGATAGAACTTCTTTAAATATTCTAAATATTAAATATTATTATAATTATACATAATAATAGTAATTATAATAATAATAATTGATTAACTCTTTCATT